TCCTATTACCCCCCCGAACTTAATTTATCTATAATATTCTACCCCTTTTCAGCCTACGTGGCACTATCCTCGAAAAAAATGTCAACATGCGCTGGGCCCACAAGACAGTGCCACGTAGGCCAAAAAGGGATAGAATATTACATATAAAATAAGTTCGGGGGGGTAATAGGACCTTAGTAAAGGTTAGGTGTGTCTCTGGGATTTCGGGTATAGGCTGGGGGTACTTATGCATTTTCCCTTATAAAATAATATTTTAAAAAAAATAGAAAGGAATAAATTGATGGACACGTTAAGTGTGGCCTCAATTTATAAGAGCGATTATATCCATCGATTTTGATCCAATTTTTTCAGGGTTATATCATTAGTTATTGTTCTTATCTTGCAGACTTATCCTTTCATAATTGTTCTTTTTTTGAGCACCACATATCAAAAAAATCCTTTCATACCAAAAAAATCGTTTGTAAAATCCTACAACTAATGATATAACCCTAGCAATATTTTTTGGAGCACCACATATCACAATTGAACTATTTAAACTATTATTGCCAGCTGTTACAATTATTTCAATGCCCATAGGTCATATCATCGGTAGGGCTGAGCTATCGAATTCAGCGTAATTCAATAATTTTAATTATGATTATGTGTATATATTAAAAATTTATTTAGTTTGTATAAATAATGTATTCAAAGTTCTATAAATTAAATTGATATTTTTTAAAATTCATAAATTCTAATGTTATCTCTGCACTTTATCTCTCTGCCTTCCCTGAATACTTTTGAATATGTAAGACGCATCTATATATGTGCATAAAAAATTGAAGGATATGAATCTGAATCGAGATCAAATTAAATAATATATTTATGTATAATGCCTTTCGAATAATTCTTTGGCACTTTATCTTAGTGCGCCAGCAATGACTTTGTTTTTTTTGTTTGTATGGCCCAACTCCTTCAAAATATCTTACGCGTAGGGGTGAGACCTATTTCTTATCTTCTACTCCCTCTTTATGAATTTTTTTCCTTTTAGCTAATGCTCCCTTCGTTTAAAAGAGAGTGACCTAGTTTGACTTGACACGGAGTTTAAGAAAATAAAGAAGACTGTTGAATCTTGTGGTCCTAAATTAAAGTTTTGTCAAATGTACAAAATTGTCCTTTAATCTTGTAGTCTTAAAAATGTCACGTAGAAAGATGAAAGTAAAATATTACAAAAAAAGGAAAGAGGTCATTCTTTTTTAAATAAACTAAAAAGAAAATTAGGTCATTCTTTTAAAACGGAGAGAGTAGTTATACTCACATACATATAACTATTTATTCTAGATTATAAATTTCAAAAAAATTCTTTTATTCTTAAATTTTGTGTCTGGTCTAACACTTTTACATAATTTGAAATTTGAGTATATACATTCTACTCACGTACCTCGAATTGTTGGTTGTAAAATAATGAGATAATACATAAATGTGCTTTTTAATGTGGCATAATATAAATCAGCGTATCTCAAGTGAATTGCTATGTAGGTCGTGTGTGTTTACTAATTCAATTTTATACTAGTTTAATAGTAAGTTAACTGTGAGATGAGGAAGTGAAGAAAGAAACTATAATACTCTGTATTGTATCTCAATTGTTCTTCATTCCCAGTCCACAACAGTTCTAATTCTTGAGTCACAAGGATGTATTTCAACAATGAATTGTCTGATCTGAAAGATGGCCTACTTAGCGCGCTGCAAGATGCAAATAACTCGCTGAAATATGTTAGTTACACGGATGTTGAAAGGGATCGAATAAATTTCTTTCTATGGGAGTTAAAATTTCTTGATTGTTTTCTCTATTTGAAAAGCATCCCTTCTGCAAGTGAATGCGGTATGCTACATGTCTCACAGAAAATGATAGAAATTTGGAAAAGTCAGTGTACTAGAATACTTAGCATTTCTCCAGATTCAGGAATACAATACTGGAAGAAGAACGAAAGTATAAAGAGTCAATATCTTGAAGAAGTTGAGGTTGCTTTGGATTCATTTGTCTACTGGAAGGAGGTAATTTGGAAGACTAAGCAAGAATTCCGAGCCGAATACTCCTTTCAGAAAACACCACTTGCAGCCAACAAGGTGATTGATGATGATGATATTAATACTGATAGCCTCAAATTTGTGATGGAAGTCATCAATGTTTTTGTGGGGAACATTAATGTTCTAGTGAAGATCAATGATCCATCTTCGTGGTTTTTTGTTCCAGGACACATGAAGGAACAAATAGAACAAGTGTTAAAGGAGTTGAAGTTATTGAGATTTTTTGTCAGCTTTGTTTCAAACAAATGTAGTATACAGCCTCAATACCGATGTACTACTTTTTATACTCATGCTTTAATTGAGGCTAGCCACATCGCAATGGTTGTCTGGTTGCATTTGCCAGTCTATGGCAACGGAAATCAAGACTTGGCTCCAACTGAAGTCAGTCGTTTGCTTACTGATTTCATGGAAATGAAGATTAAGTCCATTCAGCCAGACATCAGCCGCAACAGTATTTATATTGATGTTCTGCAAGCTCTGAAGTCAACCATACCACAAGCTCAAAATAAGCATGCAGTTGAGAGTGGCATTGTGGAAACTCCAACACAAAATCTGATGGTTGGTTTGAGTGATCAAATGGCCAAACTTCAGGAGATGCTCTGCCTTCTAAGAGACAATCTCATTCATCTGCCAATACTAGATCTGGAATTTCATCTTCAAGATATGGATTCTGTTATTGTTGATGCAGGACTTCTTATTTACTCATTATATGATATCAATGGAGAGAAGGAAGACACAGCATTGGATGATATGAACCGGGCTCTTGATTTTGATCTTCCGAGAAACATTGAGCCTATCAAGGCGATGGTCTACCTTGTCATGCAAAAGGCATTTCAATCTAACTTGCCAAGGATTCAAGGACTAGGCTATGTCGATTTTCTATTGAAAAACCTGAATGATTTCCAAGGCCGTTATTCAGATTCACTCGCTTTCCTCAAGAATCAACTTCAAGTTATTCAAACGGAATTTGAGAGCATGCAACCTTTCTTGAAGTTTGTCGTAGAAGAGCCACACAATAAGCTCCAGACACTGAATGAAGATTGTGCTACACAGATAATTAGGAAAGCATATGAGGTGGAATATGTAATTGATGCTTGTTTAAGAAAAGAGGTTCCTCAGTGGTGCATCGAGCGTTGGCTCCTGGATATCATAGAGGAGATTACTTGTATCAAAGCAACAATTCAGGAAAAGAACACGGTTGAGGATACAATGAAGACTGTCATTGACTCGTACATCATCACAATTGGCAAGGACTCCAAGGATGAATGAAGAGATTGTTGGGTTTGAGGATGTCATAGAAAATTTAAGAAAAAACTACTAGAATGGAACCAAAGGGACAAGATGTCATTTCAATTCACGGCATGCCAGGTTTAGGTAAGACGACTTTAGCCAACAGACTCTATTCTGACAGGTCAGTTGTTTCTCAATTTGATATTTGTGCACAATGTTGGTGTCTCAAGTATATTCTTATAAGGACTTGTTATTGGCCTTGCTACGTGATGCTATTGGTGAGGGTTCTGTGCGTAGAGAACTTCATGCCAATGAATTAGCTGATATGCTTCGCAAAACTTTATTGCCCCGAAGGTACCTTATCCTTGTTGATGACGTGTGGGAAAATAGTGTTTGGGATGATTTAAGTGGTTGTTTTCCAGATGTCAATAACAGAAGCAGAATCATTCTAACAACAAGACATCATGAAGTTGCCAAATATGCTAGTGTTCATAGTGATCCCCTTCATCTTCGTATGTTTGACGAAGTTGAAAGTTGGAAGTTGCTTGAAAATAAAGTGTTTGGTGAACAAAGCTGTTCCCCTCTCCTAAAAAAAGTTGGGCTAAGAATAGCAAAAATGTGTGGACAACTCCCTCTTTCAATTGTTTTGGTGGCTGGTATTCTGTCGGAGATGGAAAAGGAAGTAGAATGTTGGGGAACAAGTGGCCAACAATTTGGGTACCCACATTCACAATGACTCAAGAGCCATTGTAGACCAAAGTTATCATGTTTTACCTTGTCACCTTAAGTCTTGCTTCCTTTATTTTGGAGCATTTTTGGAGGATAGAGTGATTGATATTTCGAGGTTAATAAGGTTATGGATATCAGAATCATTTATAAAAAGTAGTGACGGCAGGAACTTGGAGGATATAGCAGAAGGTTACTTGGAGAATCTTATTGGTAGAAATCTAGTAATGGTTACACAGAGGGCTGATTCAGATGGTAAGGTCAAAGCATGTCGCCTTCATGATGTATTACTCGACTTCTGCAAGGAAAGAGCAGCTGAGGAGAATTTTCTACTATGGATAAAACGGTAATATGATATGATTTTGCTAATTGATATATTTCAATCAATCAAGTATTTCAAGTTATATTTGAAAATTAATGATATGATTTTACTAATTGATATATTCACAGGGATCAGACTACCAAAGCTGTTTACTCTCACAAGCAGCATTCTCACCTTGCCTTCACTGAAATGGACAATCTTGTTGAATGGAGTGCGTCTTGCTCACTTGTTGGCTCTGTACTTTTTAAGAATTATGACCCATACTTTGCCAGTCGTCCCTTATCCTCTCATGCTTTTTCAATTTCACACATTTTATTAAATTTCAAGTTCCTAAAAGTATTGGATTTGGAGGACCAGATTGTTATTGATTTTATTCCAACTGAGCTCCTTTACTTGAGGTATTTATCTGCACACATTGAACAGTATTCAATTCCTTCAAGCATATCCAATCTTTGGAACCTTGAAACTCTTATATTAAAACGTAGGTCATATGGTATACATGACAAGCTATTACTACCTAGTACAGTTTGGGATATGGTTAAATTGAGACATCTGCATACTCCTTACTTCAGCACAGAAAATGAAGAAGCATTACTCAAGAACTCTGCAAAACTTTATGATTTGGAGACCCTTTCCAGTCCATACTTTTCTCGTGTTGAGGATGCAGAATTGATGTTGAGAAAAACACCTAATCTTCGAAAACTGATATGTGAAGTCCAGTGCTTAGAATACCCCCACCAGTACCATGTGTTGTATTTTCCAATAAGGCTTGAAATACTAAAGCTTTATCTATCATCAGTCTTTAAAACCATCCCCTTTTACATCTCTGCACCAAATCTCAAATACCTGAAACTCTCTCGCTTTTATCTGGATTCTCAGTTCTTGTCAGAAACAGCTGATCATCTCAAGCACCTTGAGGTACTCAAACTGTACCACCTTGTATTTGGTGATCATGGGGAATGGAAAGTGAGCAATGGCATGTTCCCTCAACTCAAAATCTTGAAACTAGAATATGTGTGCTTGATGAAATGGATTGTAGCTGATGATGCATTTCCTAACCTTGAACAATTGGTTTTGCGTGGATGTAAATATCTTATGGAGATCCCTTCTTGTTTCATGAACATCCTTTCTCTGAAGTACATTGAGGTACACAGCTGCAACGAATCTGTTGTCAAGTCAGCCAAGGATATAGAAGAAACACAAGTCGAAGATAATCAAAATACTAATTTCAAGCTCGTCATCATCAAGGTACATTACTGAGAAAAGCTTTATTCTGCATGATTCTGATAAATCAGAAATAACGGCTATAAATTTTATGAACTGTTTCCACTGTTATCTTTAACCCTCGTGGCGTCATTTTACATTTGGGTTTTCTCTTGGGTTTCTTGCAGATAATGATGTTGCAATTCGATATTTCTCATGACAAAGAGATAGATAATGTCACGCCCCGAGCCTACACCCTGGGCGGGACCGGCACCCGGAGACCATTTCTGGCCCCAAGCGAACCCTTGGCCTGGCTTTCTTAACTCAGCGGAAACCTAACTCAACAAAATAACTTCATGCAAAGCAAGATTACAAAACAACTTAACTTATAAAATATGGCCATAAGGCAATCCGAATCTCAAAATAGAATATTTACATATATATATATAGATAAGAGACTCGAAACTAGCTGACTGACTGTCTGTCTATGAAGCCTCTAAAATACTGAGATGGATGTTGGGACAGACCCCGCAACATCCTAATAAGACAAAAACTAAGAACACCAAATAATTGAGTCCTCCGGAATGCAAGGAGGCTCACCACTGACTCTGGAGTGCTCAGCTGGATCAACGACGTGCAGGATGCTGATCTGGAGTACCTGAATCTGCATCATTAAACGATGCAGGCCAACTGGCATCAGTACGTGGAATGTACGAGTATGCGAGCGGGAAAGCCAAAACACAACTTAAGTTTGAAAGGAAAACAAGAGAACCCTTACCTCGGCTCTGTACGACTCATGACTAACTGAACTCAATATATATAAAGCAATAAGACGCATGCAATATATAAAGCTTGTAAAACAGTATAAACAACTTAGCTTGTTAATGATAAAACAATAACAACTCAACTGTACTTATATAAAAGTAATATAACTTGTGTGGGAGGTTCTTTAACCGACAACCACCACTATGAGCCCTAGTGATGATACAACGTTTTACCTCACGTTGCCCGAGGACCATCCTATACCTTGCCGTGATATAGGAAGCTAATGATACAACGTTTTACCTCACGTTGCCCGAGGACCATCCTATACCTTGCCGTGATATAGGAAGCTAATGATACAACGTTTTACCTCACGTTGCCCGAGGACCATCCTATACCTTGCCGTGATATAGGAAGCTAATGATACAACGTTTTACCTCACGTTGCCCGAGGACCATCCTATACCTTGCCGTGATATAGGAAGCTAATGTTACTTAGTGGATCCACTAGCTTAACTTTCGTGATCATCTAAAAAGTATGATCCGAGAAATCCCATGTTAGCGCATGGTTCTTATGGAGAGCTGAGTAAATCAGAACTCGTGTCCCCAATTCGGTGCTCAATACTACTCCCAAAAATACTTTGGCCCATAATTGTCTTTAAACACATTCTTTCTTTAATTGAGATAATTACTCAAAACTTAGCCCAAAGGCTCTTTTGGAAAAAGAAACATAGTTCCCCTCTTGCTCAAATGTAATAGCATTTATAACCTCCCTTGGGAATACTTAGTTCCCTAATAGCCTTTAAAAAGAGAACTCAACTTTTAAACTCATGACTTAACTTGAAACTGAGACTCTTACTCGACTTGAAACTTGAGACTCTTGCTTAGCTTGAAACTCTATACTCTTTTTCTTGACTTCTAACTTCGCTTGGCTTGGAACTATCTTTCCTTGAATCGGACTTATGAATTCAAGGTATTCGATCACATGTTATGGAGGGATTCTTGAACGCTTAGACGTACTTTGGAGTGTCGGAAACAACTGTGAAACATAGATATAATACTTTGGAACATGCATGAGAAAGTGAAAAAAGAAATGGGGAAACTTGGCTGAGACTGCAGATTTCTGGTGACACAGATGGCATCTACGGACGCCATCGACGGACCATAGATGGACTTACGGTCCGTCCTGTAGGTCCGTAGATCGCGTCAGAGACTTCCCCAGAATTCAGTTAAAAAAAATGACTAAGTGTTGACCTACGGTCCGGACTTACGGTCCGTAGGTCAGGTTACGGACCGTAGGTCGTGACCGTAGATCGATGTCCCAAAAACCCAACTTCTGTCCCGATTGACGGTTGACCAGCACGGACCGTCAATCGATCTACGGTCCGTAGGTCACGTCCGTAGATGGGGTTCGACAGCCAAAACTTGCTGAGAATTGATGGTGAATCAACTTCAAAAGGGTCATAACTCTTAGAATCATAATTCCCTCAACATACAATAGGTTTCAACTTAAATACACGACCCAATCATGTCTCACAACGAATAATAACTTCAACAACACCACCAACAACATCAACAACAAATTCCAATCTTTTCTCAAATCATAGAATAAACTTAGTGTGTGTGAGGGAAAGGATCAACCCACACGAAAACTCACATACCTTGATAGGGATCACCCCCGACGAAAATCCACAATGATCTTGACTAATCTCCTCTTTCTTCTCTTCTTCTTCTTCTCCTTCTTCTCTTCTTCAATCTCAAGAACCCTAACTCTTTCTCTTTCAAAATGGGACAAAAAATGATCCAAAGATCAGCCTAATACAACACTATGAGCTCAAAAGAAATGATTTGTGAAAAGACCAAAATGCCCTTAAATTTCCGGACGGATTTTCCTTCCAACTGCCCAACTTCTAGAGGGCATAACTCGCTCATACGAACTCGGAATCAAGTAAACTCAGTGGCGTTGGAAAGATCGTTCCAAGGGCTTTCTAAACATAACTGGAACTACTCCTAGATCATCCTGAGCTAGGAGTTATGACTGCTCAAAGTTGGCCAAAAACTCACTGATTTCCACACTTACCCAAATTTCCAGATTTTTAAATTTTTCCAAAAATGACCATTTCCAAATTTCAAACTCCTTCAAAGCCACTTCAAATTGTCGGATGTTACAGATAATGCATTTAAAAGATTAGTCTCTCTTCCAGGTACTGATTATTTTTTCTTTCTTTCCTTTTTTTTTTAGTACACCAAATAAATTGATTCATCTTTTTTGTCTTTCTGATATGAAAGGAGTAGAATCAATGTCAATTGATATGACAGAAAAGAAACTTACTGTTTGGTGTGGAGATATGGATGCTGATGAAGTTCGATTAGTTGTGGGGAAACTGATAGACAGTGGCATGCTGTAACGAAATGCTGAGCTCTGGTGAACTCAACCATGATAGATTTCCAGAAAATGACAAGGTTATAGTCCCAACTTATCAACACAAATGTGCTATAGTCCTTTTGCTTACAGTAATACCAATTCATGACACATGCAGAAACATTAACGGCAGTTAAGGTGTCTTATATGTGTTAGGTTTGTTGTTATATATTAGGATTTAGGATTGTTTATCGAGTTGTATCTTTAATGCTTTCTGTATAAACTGGAGTAGGATCGTATCATTGTCTTCAAGTTGGGGTAACTCGAAGACTTGAGAATATAAACCTTGGGAGGTTTGTGTAGTTGTAGGAATTGGAGTTAATTACAGAGTTAGTAATCTTAAGTTGTTGTTGGCTCATTGTGTCGAGTAAAGTTTGGGCTAAATACAAGTCCTGTTTTTATTTTACATCCTTATGAGTGGGGTGTTTTCCACATAATAGTGAAGCCTTCTTTATCTTTTGCACTTACTGTTTGTTAAGAAACACGTTAGGCAACTTGTTTCACTTGTAGGTACCTTTCAATTGCTATGTAAGCTTTGCACCGCTCTAACCACCCATCACATTCAAAATAATGTGCATATAAGAGTAGAAATAACTCACAAGTTTATCTGTATATCTCCTAATATGACCACTGTTTTCTTGAGGAAAACAGTTCAGCTGATGGCATAATACATATATTGGACCCTAAACTTGCTTCAAATTTTAACTTTGACCTCCAACTTTCATAGTGCACAAATAGGCACTTTAACTATCCAATCTTTTAATAAATAAACATGTGAATCCTACTTGGCAAAATGCGTGATGTGCACGTATTTTGCGCGAGTAGGAGTAATTTTCGAGTCCCACAACAGTAAAAACCTCCCTTTTCCGGCCAGTAACCAGCAGCTCCCACCTCCAACCCAGCTGTTCTCCTTCTTCCTCCACATCTTTTAATAAATAAACATGTGAATCCTACTTGGCAAAATGCGTGATGTGCACGTATTTTGCGCGAGTAGGAGTAATTTTCGAGTCCCACAACAGTAAAAACCTCCCTTTTCCGGCCAGTAACCAGCAGCTCCCACCTCCAACCCAGCTGTTCTCCTTCTTCCTCCACACCGGAGCACAACCCATGAAGCGAACGAGCTTCGAGCTCGCTAAACCCACCAAATACCCGACCCCAAACCCATCAGATCCGCCATCTCCGGCAAGAATCATCACAAACCAGACACAAAACAGCAACCAAATGACCCCCCAAACCCCATATGAAAACAAACCCAAACAATGAGCTCCAAGCTCTAAAAACCATTAGGAGGAATTAATTTTGATTCTTGTATATAAATTAAAATTAATTTTGATTTTTTTAGTTCTAAAATGAACGTGTAAAATATTTAATTAGTTGGCAGCCATTGAATGGCTCACTAATACACGTGGGAGCGTTTGCATTTCACATTCTTTGGGTCCGAAAATCGTGTGTTTATTTATTTAAAGATAGGATAGTTAAAGTGCCTATTTGTGCACTATGAAAGTTGGAGGTCAAAGTTAAAATTTGAAGCCAAGTTTAGAGTCCAATATGTGTATTATGCCTCAGCTGATTGCTGCAATGGTTTGACCCAACAGATCAGTCCAAATTAAACATCTTGCATCATCTTGAAATTAATAGGAGTATTCAAGTGTGTGTGAATATTTGTTATCGCCTCGTATATATACATTTGTCATTCTTTTTTACAGATTAAAAAGAGGAAATTACATCACATAAATTGGGACACAAAAAAAAATATTTGACGTAATACATAAATAAGATCCTTAACTTGACTTCAAATTATGACTTTGACCTTTAACTTTGATAGTGTACAAAGAGACACTTTAACTATCCAAAATTTAACC